CCAGGAATGGGCTCGAATGTCTGAGAGTTGCAGGTTCGAATCCCCATTTGGCTATAAATTGTCGGATAGCAAATATCTTGTTTATCAGACGGAGACAGGAAGCAGTGTCGCTATTTGTTTTTTCACTGAGCGTGGGTGAATCAACTGGCATATTAGCTGACTGGACTGTGAGTGGGTTGCTTGCTTGGCTCTGATGTCATTAAAGAGTAATTAAGAGCTGCCTTGAGTCAAGGGGAAAGGCAGGGCTGTTTTTGTAGAAAAAGCCCAACAGGAACTCATTAGCATAATAGGCCACACCCAACAGCAGAAACTCATTAGCATATTAAGCCACACCCTAACAGCACAGCTCATTAGCATATTAGGCCGCACCCCCACATTACCAGAAGTGTGGTCATCCAGCCACACCCACCTTTTGCTTCTTATTCTGTTTACTTTGTTGTTAAAACCCAGGGCTTTTTTTGTAGCACGAACTCCTTTGCATGTTAGGCCCCACACCCCTAATGTAGCAAACCCTAACGAGTTTCTGCTGTTGGGTGTGGCCTATTATGCTAATGAGTTCCTGCTGGGCGTGGCCAACTCGGGAGCCAGCCGGAACTCCGTTCCTGTGCATTCCTGCCCCAAAATAGCCCTGGAAAGGCAAAGTGTAAATGTTTCCATAAAATAAATTGGTCAGGGTGATGCACTTGGTGAAAATGGGTTTGAGGTGCGTCTCCTTCTGAAATGAAGGAAGGGCGATCGTATTAACTTAAGTTGTTCTAGGGATGGGACAGGCAACTCCATGGGATCCGGGAACCTTTTCTTTCGCACTGCACAACTCAGGGTATGTTCGTGCCTGCGTATTCAGAGCTGGCTTAGTGCAAGTGAAGGATCATGTATGAGAATGAGCCAGTGCCTAACTACTGGGGGGAAACAGTCTGTGGGGCTCAAGCCCAACCAGAAGTGGCATGCTTGTCTCTGGAAGTGTCCAAGGGCACATTGGTTTGTTATTTGGCATGTTGCTGGTTCAAATCAGGACTGGCACTGGAGACTGATAATCCCATCGCCTTCTTAGCCTATTGCAGCGGTCCCCAACGTGGTGCCCCTGGGCCAACAGCTTTTATGGTGTTTTCAGGAAGTGGACAGGGCCAGGTAGGGCCACTGATTGGCCACTGGAGATTTGATAGGCTGTGCAGAATTTTTAAATTTGTTGTTTTAGCGGCATAGATTCAGAGGAGTCAGCCGTGTCAGTCTGCTGCTGCAAGATAGTAAAAAGCCCAGTAGCACCTTTTAGGAGCTGCGGTGGCTCAAGTGGTTAAGATGCTGAACTGCAGGCTGTGGAAGGTCAGTAGTTCAGCAGTTCGAGACCCGAGTTGCCGCATGACGGAGTGAGCTCCTGCCTCTAGTTCCAGCTCCTGCCAACCTAGCAGTTCGAAAGCAAGAAATTGCAAGTATGAGGAGCTGCAGTGGCTCAAGTGGTTAAGACACTGAACTGCAGGCTGTGGAAGGTCAGTAGTTCAGCAGTTCGAGACCCGAGTGTGCCGCATGAGGGAGTGAGCTCCCGTCTCTAGTTCCAGCTCCTGCCAACCTAGCTGTTTGAAAGCAAGAAATTGCAAGTAGATAAATAGGTACCACTTCGGTGGGAAGGTAACAGCGTTCCGTGCGCCTTGGTGTTTAGTCATGCCGGCTACCTGACCATGGAAACGTCTTTGGACAGCGCTGACTCTTCGGCTTTGAAACGGAGATGAGCACCACAACCCTAGAGTCGGACTCGACTGGCTTTCGAGCAAGGGAACCTTTACCTTTACCTAGAACCTTTAAGACTAGCAAACTTTATTGTAGCATAAAGGTGCTACTGGGCTTTTTACTGTTTTGGTGGCACCGACTGCCACCGCAGCACAAGGATCTGCACTGTGTGACTGAAGTTAAGTGGTGGCAGCCCTTTTGTGGCTGGCCCCGCCTCCTGCAGCAGTTGTTTTTGTGGCAGCCTTTTTGTTGCTCTACCTGCCACGCCATGCCAGAATGTGAAATGTACCTGCAGGCTGGAAAAGGTTGGGGACCCCTGGTCTGTTGTAACAAAACAACAATCCAGGGGCTACCTTGTAGACTAACATCATTTATTCCCGCATGAGTTTTTGGGAGCTAGTGCTCACTTCTGGAGGCACGGTGACAGGGACGCTGAGGCAGAAGGCAGTGAGACACAACAAAGCTCCCTCTGGAATAACGGCTGTTAGACTTCAAGGTGGCCCTGAACTCCTGATTTGTATGGGAGACAGATGCCCAGTGTCATCCCTCGGAGTCCTAAAATCAGCTCATCTCTGGAGAGGGGCAGTCACAGATAAACATTGATAGCTCCCTTGGACCACTTCAGATGCAAGGTTTGCCACTAACTCGTTCTCACCTTCATCCACCACCACTCTTTGAGTCCTGGTCTACCCACGCAGCAGACTGAAGTGGCAGAATAGAATGGAAGAGTGATGTAGTGGTCAGAGTGTTCGAGACCACAGGGGTGTTGTGAGGATAAACATGCATGCCACTCTGTGCTCCTTACTGGAAGGGCAAGGTTAAAAATGTACGAGACAGCTAGAATTCTGAGGCGGCAGCGTTGGCTATACCGCATCAGATTGCAGGTGAAGGATCATATTTTCAGTGCCCCTCATCCAAAAATTCTCTGAAAATACAACCCCCACCCCGCCAAAATACGTGAGGGGCTGCTAATCTACCACTTGGCTTGTGAAGCTAGTTTTCTACTTTCAGGGAATTATTAAAATAGGGGAGCGTTGAAAATGCAACTCCTCACCTGTAGTCTGACAAGGTATTTATTTATTTATTTATTTAAACTTGCAGAGATACAAACTGATATTATTACCATGTGCCTTGGAACGCTGCGTCCCGAGTTCCTTCTTTGCAACAACCCTTCCCGCCTTCTGGCTGGGATATAAGGACTCAAAGATTTCCAGTCCTACTCATATCTGAGGAAGGGACCTTTGACTCTCAGAAGCTCATAACCACAAAGAACTCGTTGGTCTCTAAGGTGCTGCTGATCTGGAGACATCACACTTGGGTGAACCAGGCCTCCGTTTCCTTGGAAGCAGGCCTTGGGACCAGCGCCCCGTCGTGTGGGTGTGCCTCTGCACCAGGGGTCATTTCGCAGAAAAAGAGGTGCAGCTCATTAGCATAACTCATTAGCATTACTTATTTGCATATGCCACACCCCCTGACATCACCGAAAGTGTGTCAGAAGGCAACACCCACCGCTCAGGCGCCACTGGACTGTTTTGGATCGCTAGCTATTGGAGGGGGGGGGACGTGCAGATCTGTCCTCGCAGAGGAGGGAGAGCTTGTACCTGAATAAAACTTGGTCTTTAAGGTGCCACTGGACTGTTTTGGACCGGGGGGCCAGGGGGGCTCTGCAACTTACCTGGCTGCTTCTTGCTCCGACTGAGGGCTGCTGGGAGCAGGGGGTGGGGCTTGTTGCATGTGCCCGCCCCCTGGGCTCTTTACTGTCGGAGCTCCGCTCCTGTGCGCTCCTGCAGG